AGGGAATCAGGATGTTGGATGTTTGGAATAAAAGAAAAAAACAGGATGTGAATAAACAACATGTAAAACAGGGTGCAGCAGGAACACAGCAGGAATATATTTGTATGGAAAATTTTCATATTTACATGGAACATCTCCACATGTCTCTCTGGTCAGAGAACACAAACGAGACAGTGTTTGTGATGCTGAGTCAACAGTATTATACTGTAAGTGTTTAAAGAGAGGTTTCCATTGACTGTGTGAAGAACTGTTGAAAGTTCCCGAAAAACACAACATGCCATTGTATGGCAGCTGCACCATTGTACACTATCTCTACTTTTAACTTTCCTTTTTGCTAAAGCATATAGTTAGGACCAAACACCACCACAGACACACTCACTCATGTGCACTCACACCACACAGGTATGCGTACACAGTCACACACGAGCACTCACATAGACACGCGGGAACGCGCACATGTAGGCATTCATGTGCTCGTGCACATAGACACAGACAGAGTTTGCAGCACACGTGGGGGGTTTTATGATGGGTCGCCCCTATAAAACTGTGTTTCACAGACAAAGGAGTGAAGATTTGGAGAGGGACACACCAGCCTCGTCTTCCCTTCTAGAAGATGCATGCTTAAATGAAGATGAGTAAAGATGAATAAAGGTTTTGTGAAATGACTACTGAGTTCCGGTGCCGTCTCTGGAAGTTTCGACGAATAAAAGAACCGGGGTAAAACTGATTTCTTAACACCCACCATGTAAGATGACTTTGACATCCCTGATCTAGATGGAGACGATTACTAGAAGCTCCACGTTTCTAGTTATCAGCTGTTTGTAGAGCTCTGATTATTGCTGTTTACAGCAACATTAATCTGTTTGTGTCATCCATAAATGTATATTTCCTTATTCTGATATTAAATACCACACTTTTCATCTCATTATTCAGACTGATTAAGATACAATAACATTATTTAATCTCACACTGGAAAAGTCACCTGTTACAGCAGCAAAAGAGTCGGAAGGAAAAAGTGAATCAAAAACATGTTAAAGAGTAAAAATGTCAAATATAGAAAATCTTAAATCCAAAGTAATTTATATCATATACAATTTTACTGTTTACACTAAAATACACAAAGAATTGGTCACATGATTTTATTTTAATATCTGCATAAAATTAGGTGGCTATGATAAAAGATTACAATAGAATAAAATAGAGTTTTTTCTGCTCAATCCAAAAAACACAAAGGTAAACCTGTTGGCAGACGTTCAGGTTCAGTCTGATTAATATTTAACTTTCACACAACATAAAAATCTCCTGTTCTGAGGTCATTCACATTTATCTTGTGCAGACTGAGCCACTGCAGCAGCCTCCTCTTTGTTCTACTGTGCACGAAGAGTCGCTCTCACCTCCAGCTTTCACTTATCCCTTTAAACTCCTGTCTGAGTCTGCCTGCATCCTGAACAGCAGCAGTGTTTCCCCATATGAGCCAGTTTGCCCCCTCAGGTCCTCATGTGGGTCCTTTTAGC